ATCTCCCAAGAATCCACTATCCTACTCATGCCGAATTTAAGTAGTATCGTAAACGTAATGACAAAAAGAGTGTCTAAAGTAGTCTAGTCCATGAAAGCGTATTTATCCGCGGCTTGGTGGGAGCCATTTGTCCTGCGCAATGGGGCAGACCGGCCTCCAAACGTAAAAAGGAGCAAGACAATAGAATCCACTATGGGAGGATAGAATGTTCGTCAAGTTAATCGAGCTTGCCCAGCATCAACATTGCCGTCACGACGAGGTTGGTGAGAAGAGCAAAGAAGCAGAAGGTGATGTGCGCCAGACGGCCGAATCGAGCCAGAATCGGCTGCAGGAAGGTTTTGGCCCCGGGGGCGCGGATCTTCATCTGCGTGGAGACGATGGCAAAGAGAAGCAGCTGAATCGCCGCCCCCGAAGCATACCAGAGAGGACCGCTGATGCCGTACTGAAAGCAAGAGTGGGTGGAACGAAGACGAAAAACGCTGGAGCAATTAATGCTGAGAAGGAGGACTAAAAAAGACAGATAGTCTTGTGGGAAAGGGTACTAATCTGCCAGAGAATAATTTAACTGAAGACTTGATAATCGCAACCCATAACACATACATTATTGAATTTTATAGATTGTGAATCATAGCCTCAGTGTGATCGAGCCAGATTCCGACACTGGGAGGTTTGGAAAAGGCTCCAGATTACGACCGACAATAAATCACGTAAGATATAGAACTTAGAAATAAATATACAGAAGAAAAAATGCCTTATATGGGATTATAGGACAGCATGTTTTGAAGTAGTGAATTTATCCTCGGTACCATTGATCCCGAAACCACTAGAAGGGGCTGAATTTTTCTCTTCGAAATGATAGAAAAGTTTTAGTTCCAGACAATTTCTCCTAATAGAAGAAACGGGAATTATGCCACAATGTCATATCATTGTGGCACAATTCTACTACTAGTCCTTCATCACCTTCAACGAAATTGGGTGATACATATCATACTACTGATATACTGGTAGTGGCGAAAACAATACTTAATTCGAAAAATAAAGTGCATATGCTTGAAACACATGCACAGTGAAACATTGTCGTGAATTTACTCAAAGGATAAACAGCATGTCACTGGAATGAAAAGAATTATTGGTAAGTTTTAATGTACCCTCTGTGGAGGCAAGCATTTCTGGAGAAAAGGGACTACCGGTCTTACTGGAGAGCTTGGGTCGAAAAGAGGAAATCATAGAATGCCATGAGAGAGTAATTAACACGACTGATCAACTTGACGATAAGCAAATATTTTAAGTTCCACTAAGATCTCCGCGCAAGGATGGCAAATATATTCATAAACAAATTGGAGGATGAATTTAAAACATCCTCGCTGCAGCCAAGAGTGATCATGCACTACTTGGATGACTACTTTACACTTTGGTCACATGGAAAAGAAAAATGAAAAGAGTTCCTGAAGAGAATCAGCCAGATTGAGGAAAGGTTTGAAGTCACAATGAAAGTAGAGTAAGGGCTAAATTCATTTGCTTTTATAGGACACTCAAGCGAATATCCTTCACAAAGAAGTCATCTGCCGAAATAATATGTAAAATCGAGAAAACGAGGCAGTCTAGGATTGGCAGACGTGGAATTCTGGAGTTTTAAATGGGACAACTCGACTGGGATATGCCTTAGCAATGGATGCCCGATCAAAAATAAAAGGGCCGTGGAGATTCGCTGAAAATGGCATATTTGGTTGATCACAAATTGGCTTGCTCTGAAGTATAGCGCCCAACATGACATTTTAGCCTACTCACGAGTAGTATCTATTTCACCTTTGACGGCAATTTTATGAACAGACGCGATAGGACCTGCAATTGGTTGTTGCTTAGTGCCAATTTTTGCGAATAATAACTGTAAAGTGC